TCCCCTGAGATGGTTTTTGACCCCAGGATTTGGGGTTTTTTGTCTCCACTGAGACAATTTTGACCCCCTGGGAGATGATTTTTGGGGTCACTGAGGTGATTTATGGGTCCCACCCCCTCCAAGCTCCCCCAGCTCCAGTGGCCCCCCCCTCACCCCATTTTTTTGGGGTGGCTGAAGGTTTTCCTGCCCCCATCCTGGTACCTCCTTCCCGTGGCTCCTCTTCCTCAGCCTTCTCCTTGCCCGGAGCCGCCTCCTCCTGGGGGGTCTCCAATGGGGGGCTCGGGGGGACCCCCAAAACTCCGGGGTCCTCCTCGTCCCCGGGGGCCACGTCCTCCACCTTCACCCTCACGGTCACCTGGGGGACACGGGCACACGGAGCTGCCGAGGGGATTTGGGGACCCCCAAAAGCTCTAAAAGGGTTTTGGGTGCTGGGGGGTCCCCAGAGGGGGTTTGGGGTGGCCCAGAATCCCCAAAAGGAGCCACGGAGATTTAGAGGCCCAAAAAAAAGCTGCAGAGGGGATTTGAGTGCTGGGGATCCCCGGGAGTTGTGGAGGGGATTTGGGTGCAAAAGCTCTCAGAGCTTTGGGTGCTGGGGACCCCCAAAAGACACTGAGGGGTTTTGGGTTCCCAGGACCCTCAGAGCCACAGAGGAGATTTTGGACACCTGGAACCCCCAAAAGCTTCTGAGAGAATTTGGGAGCTGGAAATCCTCAAAGTCCCCACAAGGATTTTGAGTGCCCAGGACCCCAAAAGCTGCCAAGGGGATTTGGATACCTGGGACCTCCAAAAGCTTCAGGAGAATTTGGGAGCTGGAGATCCCTAGAAGGTTTTGGGTGCCCAAGAACCCCAAAAGCTGCTGAGGGGATTTGGACACCTGCAACCCCCAAAAGTTTCCGAGGGAATTTGGGTGCTGGAGATCCTCAAAGTCCCCAGAAATATTTTGGGTGCCCAGGAACCCCAAAAGCTGCTGAGGGGATTTGGACACCTGGAACACCCAAAAGCCTCGGGAGATTTTGGGTGCTGCAGATCCCCAAAAGGATTTTGGGTGCCCAGTACCCCTAAAAGTGGCCGAGGGGATTTAGGCACCCATGACCCCCTTTCCAGCCCCAAGTTTGGGGGTTTCTCTTGGGAATGAGCTCAGAATCCCACAGCAGGGGTGGCATGGAGCGGGAGGAATGAAGTGGGGCCAATTATTCCCGATTTGGGGACCAGGACCCCCTGGGAACCCCCTTCCCTCGCCGTATCCGGACCCTCTCCCACCTGCTGCTCCCAAATCCCGTCGGCATCTCCTCGCCCCAGCTGGAAGCTCTCGGCCAAGGCCACGGCCTGGGCGCAGGACTCGGGGTGCCGGACCCACACCCAGCTCTGGATGTCCTCGGGCAGGATGCTGAGGAACTGCTCGAGCACCAGCAGCTCCATGATCTGCTCCTTGCTGCGCTCCTCGGGCCGCAGCCAGCGCCGCGACAGCTCCCGCAGCCTCCGCCACACGTCCCGCGGCCCCGCCGCCTCCTGGTAGCGGAACTGTCGGAAGCGCAGCCGCCGCAGCTCCGTGCCGGCACCGCCGGAGCCTCCGCCGGGAAGGGTCGGGACGAGGCTCCGGGGAGTCCACCCGGCCCTGCCCCCGGCCCGCTCCGGGGGTCTCGGCCGGGGAGGGGGGGGCTCCATCCTGCCGGGCTCTGTCGTGACCCCCCCCCGGCCCGAATGTCGCGATATGGATCTGAAAGTGGAGGGGGGCGTTAAGGAAAGACCCTCCCAGCTTTACAGTTTTACAACTCCCCCCCTCGCCTTGAGGACCCCCCTCAATCAACCCTC